GGATAACCATGGCAGGACCTCTCAAAGACCGGGATTGGATAATGGCATCAACCCCCACAGAGGACAGGCATAGTGGCTTATGCCTGTAATCCCAGCACTTTGGGAGGCTTAGGCAGGAGAATCACTTGAACCCAGGAGTCCTAGCCCAGCCTAGGCCACAACAATGAGAACTCGTCTCTACAAAAAATTTAAAAATTAGCCAGGCACGGGCCAAGTGCGGTGGCTCACGGCTGTAATCCCAATGCTTCGGGAGGCCGAGGCAGGTGGATCACCTGAGGTCAGGAGTTCAAGACCAGCTGGCCAACATGGTGAAACCCTGTCTCTACTAAAAATACAAAAAATTAGCTGGGCATGGCGGCAGGCACCTGTAATTCCAGCTACTCGGGAGGTTGCAGTGAGCCAAGATCGTGCCATTGGACTTCAGCCTGGGCAACTAGAATGAAACTCCGTCTCAAAAAAAAAAAAAAAATTAGCCAGGTATGGTGGTGCATGCCTATAGGCCCAGCCACTCAGGAGGTGGGAAGATCACTTGAGCCCAGAAGGTTGAGACTGCAGTGAGCCGTGTTCACACCACTGCACTCCAGCGTGGGTGACACAGCAAAACCCTGTCACAAAAACAAAAAACAAAACAACCTCCAGGAAGTTGGGGCACTAATCACATAGATTCCTAGACCCAGGGCCTAGCACACACAGAGGTGATTAGGAAGTTCCTCACAGCCACACCCAGGGAACCACACACAGGCACCCAGACACAGACCACTCAAGACCCTCGATCACAGCCCATGTATTTCTGAATTCCCAAGAACACCACAGACTCCCCCAAGACACAGACAGAAATGCAACAGACACATGGACACTTGGAGCCAGATCCACAAAGACGCCCATTCATAGATCCAGACCCCTGAATATATCACTGGTCACAGGAACAGACCCCAGGGCAAACAAACAGCAACTAGTCTCGTATGTGCACTTCTAAGCAAACCACCCCAGAAACACTAAGTTACAGACACAGTGAGACAAAACCAGCTTCTAAATGCTACGTCCTTACCACTCACCCCCAACTGCCTTTAGAGAGATCTCATCTCTCCCCACTCCCGCACCCAGATTCCAGGGAACAAAGAAGGGTGCAGATGGCTGGCCAAGGCTAGAGGCAGTCGCACACCCTGCCAGCAGGAATTGAATCTTGGGTCAGAGCTGGGCCCTCCTTCCCTCAAGCAGTGCCAACCCCGCCAAATCCCAGAGGCCGACCCGTGAACCCACAGCACCTTAACATGGTGCCCATCCATGTATCTCGTGGCGTCCCGGAATAGGCGGTAGGAGATGAAGCCGTGGGGGTCCACGCTGTCAATGAGTGGAAACGCAGTCTGGGGGTGGGAGGGAGGGAGAAAAGGTCAGGCTGAGCCCTGGCCCTCCAGATCTCCATGCCTCCTGGCACACTGACCATCCTTCCCCTGCCCCAGGGCCTCACCATGCCAGTCTCCGACGTAAAGATGACAATTTCATATAAAGGGGCAAGCTGCTGGAACAGGGTCTCGATGCCTGGGCGCTTCTTAAACCGCCAGCCAGTGGCCAGCTGGGGAGACAGTGAGGACAGTGAAACACCAAGAGCCAGAGGCCCTCAGAGTCCCCAAGAGGACAAAGACCCAGCCTGGGGGATTCCCAGAACGGAGTTCTCTCCCTCTGTCTCTGTGGCTCTTGAAGGTTAAGGAGTACATGGGCTGTGACTAAGGGTCTGGGTCCCAGAACAAGAGCAGGCTCCTCTGTGGTGCTCCAGCGTGCCTGGGCACACCTATACCACCCTAGAGTGGGTGTTAGCATGACTGCCTTCTCCCAGCTGAAGAAAGCGAGGCAACAAGAGGTGACATCTCCTCCCCAAGATCATATAACATGGCCAGGGCCAAAAGTCCACCTCATCACAACCCCACTGCCCAGGCCTATCCCCAACCCGCTGCCTTCCCCGGGACACACCGACCACTCAGGATGCAAGAGGACGCCAGTGAGCTCCAAAACGAGTGTATAGGGCGGCTGGTAGTACGGCTCCTGCAGAGGGTCTGGGAGAAGGCAAGGGCTGGTGGGCTCGATGATCATCTGTGGGAGAGGGACAGGATGGGGGCACTCAGACAAGGACGCTAGGGCTGGACACAGGGACTGAGCCCAGGGCGTCTGCTCACCTGTCTGTAATCTTTGAAATATTTGTATGTCCGGCGCAACTGCTGTACCAGAATTGGATCTAGGAGAACACCAGGCACAAAGAGAATCCACAATAAGCCACTGCTCAACCTCCCAGAGAAACCAGGAGTTTCTTATCTACCAGATACAAACAGTTCTGCATACCCACCTGGTTTGAACCAACTCATTTCTAGGTCCAAAGGTAGAAAGCAATGACATACCGCCAGACAGGAACAGATTTATTTACCTGTCCGGTTTTAAGCTGATACTTATATCCACACACTACCCCAGGTATGAAACAGAATGCTTGTACACTGGCCCACTTACAACCGACATACATGTAAATCTGCTGACATTATACCAGTGCATACATACATTTTTTACAGAGACAGGGTCTTGCTCTGTCAACCAGGCTGGGCTTGAACTCCTGGGCTCAAGCAATCCTCCCACCTTGGCCTCCAAAGGGCTAGGATTACAGGCGTGAGCCACCACACCTGAGTTATGCCAGTGTATTCTGCCCACTTTGAATCACTAGGCTTCCAGATCTGCCCACGTTAAGCCAGTATGCCAAATCTAAACCACAATGAATACGTAAACATATCTGTATACCGTAAACCAGTGGTTCCGGACTAGGAACGATTTTGTCTTTCTACCTACCCCTGGGAAATTTGGCAATGCCTAGAGATATATTTGATTGTCGCAATACTGGCATCTAGCAGGCACATGTCCGGGATGCTGCGAAAATCCTTCCATGTACAGGGCAGTCCTCCACAAGAATTATCTGGTCCAAAGTGTCAGTGGGGCCAAGGGTAAAAAACCCTGGTTTAGGTGAATATATTGACTCGTTTACTCTCTCTCTCTCTCTTTTTTTTTTTTTGAGATGGAGTCTCCCTCTATTGCTTAGGCGGAGTGCAGTGGCATGATCTCAGCTCACTGCAACCTCCACTTCCTGGGTTAAAACAATCCTCCTGCCTCAGCCTCCCGAGTAGGTGGGACTACAGGCACACGCCACCACGCCTGGCTAGTTTTTTGTATTTTTAGTAGAGATAGGGTTTCTGGTGAAACCTATCTTGGTTTAACCTTGGCCAGGCTGGTCTTGAATTCCTGACCTTGTGATCCGCCCGCTTCGGCCTCCCAAAGTTCTGGGATTATAGGCGTGAGCCACTACACCCGGTTACTTTCTCATTTTAGTTTATTTTTTTAGAGGTGGAGACTCATTCTGTCACCCAGGCTAGAGTGCAGTGGTGAGATGACAGCTCACTGCAGCCTGTAACTCCTGGGCTCAAGTGATCCCACCTCAGCCTCCTGAGTAGCTGGGACCACAGGCTGAAAGCCACCACTCCCAGCTAAGTATAAAACAGTACACATACACAGCTGCCTACTTCAATACAGTATTTTTAATGCAATACATGGGCCCACCTCTTAAAAAAACACAATATATTGGGCCAGGAGTGGTGGGTCACACCTGTAATCTCAGCACTTTGGGCAGCTGAGGTGGGCAGATCATGAGGTCAGATCAAGACCATCCTGGCTAACACGGTGGAACCCTGTCTCGACTAAAAACACAAAAAATTAGCTGGGCGTGGTGGCAGGCATCTGTAGTCCCAGCTACTCGGGAGGCTGAGGCAGGAGAATCGCTTAAAACCAGGAAGCAGAGGTTGCAGTAGCCGAGATCACGCCACTGCACTCCAGCCCGGGTGACAGAGCAAGACTCCATCTCAAAAAAAAAAAAAATTTGCTGGACATGGTGGTATGGACCTGTAGTCCCTGCTACTCAGGAGGCTGAGGCACGAAAAACACTTGAACCTGGGAGGTGGAGGTTGCGGTGAGCCAAAATTGCACCACTGCACTCCAGCCTGGGTGACAGAGCAAGACTGTCAAAAAAAAACAAAAACAAAAAAGCCCCACAATATTGAAAGCAGTTAGACGAGTGAACATATACACTTTAAACCTGCAGGTTTTCCTGGCCAATTTAAATCAGCATATTGATTTGTTGAAGCTAGCATGATTCTACATCTGCCCAGTTAAAACAGTACTCACTCACCTGCCCAGTTTGAAACAGTGTATTAACATGACTGTTTGCAAACGTCCCCACATAAACAGGTGGCTTTCTGGATCCACTAATTTCATTTTTCTCCTGGGAAGGGCCAGGTGTGACAAGACTGACAACTACTCTACTATCCAATTTGTCAGAAATTTCAGCACCAAAAGCTGGTTAACCAGATGGGGAGGGAGGAAGGAGGCATTGTTTTGAAAATGAGACTAATGGAGTAGGGGCTTGGGGGGTTTAGGTAAAGAGCTGAGAGCTGCAGATGCTCAGTCTGAGGCACAGGAACCCATGTGTCTGGAGATAGGCCACCCTGTGTGCCCAAGCTCTCCCACCCAAGGCTCCCCTCCCCATCTGTCCCTGACCATCTGCTCAGGGCTGAGAGGCCAGGGAAGTGGGCTTGGGCTTTGTAATGTCCCTCCCCACAAAGCTATCCAGCTGCTGGCTCCCCAACTTCCCCAATGGAAGGAGGAGGGGCCAGAGACACCAGATGGGGAAAGAGACATCCTTACAAATGACAGAGCTGAGAGGGTCAGGGACTCCAGAATCTGTGCTTGTTTACTCACCATTGTCGAATTCATCAGGAATCTGCGAGGTAGAGAGAAAAATGGAAGGTTTAGGATGTCAGAGGCAGAACCTCATCACACCCAGAAAAGGAATCTCCAGGACCCCAAAAGGAATAAGCAAAGGTCCTTAGGAAAGAAAGGCTCACTCCAGACCAGCAATGAGCCTGAACAACCCAAAGGGGACCCCTCTCACCCACAGGCTAGGACTCCTGGCAAGGACTCAGTCTCTTTCCCCCTCACCTTGGCACCTTTTTCGTCCACAGAGTTGTTTCCTGCAAGGGAGACCAGGATGAATATGAGGAATTGGGGCCCAGTCTCCTAGGTCCTGAGGGAGGAGTGGGATAGGGGGCCTGGACTCCTGGATCTGAGGGAAGAGAGTTAGAGGCACAGCCTTCTGGATTCAAGCCAGGAGGGGGCTGGGAGCCAAGATTCCTGGGTCTTTGAGAGAAAGGTGGCTGGGGCTGGGTCTCTTGAGTCTGAGGGATAAAGGAACTACTGGGAAGGCTGGATTTTTGGGTGCTGAGGAAAGACAAAGTTTAGGAAGCTGATCTACGCCTATCCTTCCCCATCTTCCCCTCTTTCCTGTATCCTGGTACAGGAACCAACTAGAAAGACTAGAACCTTAAGAGGTAGAAGGGAGAAGAAAGGCTTCCCTGGTTTTCAAAGGCAGGTGTCCTATTTGGCTGCCCTATTGAGGAAAGAGCCATGGAATTAAGATGAGAGACGTTTGTAGCGGGTAAGAGTGAGAGGTTCCACAGTGGACTAGGGAGACCAAGGAATAGAACTGGGGGCATGGATATGTCCCTCACCAAAGATATAGACAACGCTCACGGTCCCACCAGCTCCAAGCAGCCCAGCAAGCCAGAGAGCAACTTTTTTGGCATAGCTGGGACCCTCCGAGCCCGGCTGCTGCTGTGGCCCCTGTGCCTGAGTGCCCCCGCGGCTCCCGATCTCGGCGACCTGCGGTTGAGAAAGGGGAGGTCAGCCAAGAGAGAAGAGCTGATCGTTCCAACATTCCAGTCCAAGAAGAATCAAGTTCAGGAGCCAAGAGGCAGACACCCACAGAGCCCTGGACGTTTGTGTCCCCGGAAGGGCAGTCAGGAAGTGGGGTTGCTCAGAGGGTCAAAACCAGACTGTCCGGCGCCAGGATGCCAAGAGTTTTAAGAGCCAACAGGCCAGGTGCACAGGATCCTGCAGACAACACGACTGGAGGGTCTGGAGCCCAGAAAAGCAGATCAGGGAGAATAAGGGATGGGAGGGCCTAAACACTGGGATGCGAAGGAACGGAGGGCACAAGGGGGAGGGGTGGGAGGGCGGGAAGGGGCAGACAGGACCGGGAGTTATGATCTGGCTGCTTGGGGCTAAAAGGTAGCAGAGTACAGGGTAAGGGATGGGAGCGGGGGCGGCGAGGGACAATCACTTGTCTGGGGTTGGGGAACTAGGGCACAGAAGTGATAGACTTGGAGGTCAGAATGGCTGGGTCTCTGTCAACATGGAGGCAGGTCGAATTGGAAATCCAAACGTCTACCTCACCACCACCACGACCATAGTAAAAATAACTCCCAAGTTAAGGCTGGGACTCCAGCGTCCCACTCCCCTCCTGCTCAAGTAATCACCTGAGTGGTCTTTGAGATGGGAAACAGGTAACCCCCTCCTCCTCCGGCGCCCACGTGGGTGGGAGGTGGGATCTGGAGGACACACCTGGGCCCCCAGCCTCCAGGCCAAGGGAGCAAGTGCTGTTCACCCAGGAGGCTGGGAAGGGGCCCAAAACGCAAGCGACGTTTTATTCAGCACCCTGAGGTGCGGCGTCCCAGAACCTCCAAGCGGCGGCGATATGTCCGTAACTCCTGGGAGGGGACCCCACATTCAGAGCGCCACCCTCGTTCCGCTCACCTGATCTGGAGCCCGGGGGGGTGGCGTCGCCAACCTCGTGCACAGTCCCCGCGAGCCTAGCCGGAGCCCGCTCCGCAAGCGCGAGAACAGCACTGCCGAGGCCGCCATCTTGCGCTGACGCCACGCGGCCCCGCCCACTTGCTCCCTTTACTGGGCCGGCGCTACAGCCAATGGGAACGCAGGGGAGGGGGCGGACGGAAGCCCGAGAGAGACTAAAGGCTTCGGGCGGATTGCCGCAGGCACGTTTGCCCCAACTATTCTGCTTGCTACCCCTGGGGGCGCCAACTGGGATCCAAAGTCATCTGGACCACGCCCAGCTTCGGCCGTGCGGAGCGCCACCGCCCAGGCAAAGGATGCAACACAGGAATTGATCACACTGATTGCTCAGAGGTAAAGCAGAGGCCATAATGAAGGGAATCAGTGGCTGCCTGATTTGTCCAAAAAAAAAGTCATGAGTCAGGTCGCTTGTCTCACGTGTAAGGGCATCGGCCTTCGCCTCCCAATTGTCAAAAATGGAAACTGAGGCTTAGAAAGCGACCTGAAAAGCCAGTCCTCAAAACCTTCTGGCCAGGCGCGGTGGCTCACGCCTGTAATCCCAGCACTTTGGGAGGCCGAGGCAGCGGATCACCTGAGGTCAGGAGTTCAAGACCAGCCTGGCCAACACGGCGAAACCCCCGTCTCTACTAAAAATACAAAAAAAAAAAGTAGCCAGGAGTGATGGGGCGCGCCTGTAGTCCCACCTACTGGGTAGGCTGAGGCAGGAGAGGCTGAGGTTGCAGTGAGCCTAGATTGCAGCACTGCACTCCAGCTTGGGCAACAGAAGGAGGCTCTCTCAAAATAACAATAATAAATAAAAATTAAAATTAAGGCTGGCCTGGGGGCTCATGCCTGTAATCCCAGCACTTTGGGAGGCCGAGGCGGGTGGATCAACTGAGGTCAGGAGTTCCAGACCAGCCTGGCTAACATGGTAAAACCCCATCTCTACTAAAAATACAAAAATTAACCGGGGTGTAGTGGCACACACCTGTAATCCCAGCTACTGGGGAGGCTGAAGCAGGAGAATTGCCTGAACCTGGGAGATGGAAGTCACAGTGAGCTGAGATCACATCATTGCACTCCAGCCAACAGATACTATGAACCTCCCCTAAATTGACTGGAAGAAAAATCAGATCCTGTTTACGTAAACCTTAGAACCAAATAATATACCAAGGTAGAAAAATTACTGTGCTGCTGAAGTGGGTCCTATCTAGTATATACTGTTTCCTCATCTGGGTGGTGGGGACGTGAGTGTTCTTGGTATACATTCTTGAACATCTGAAATGGTTTTTGGTTTTTTTTTTTTGTTTTTTTTGAGATGCAGTCTTGCTCGGTTGCCCAGGCTAGAGTGCAGTGATGTGATCTCAGCTCACTGTGATCTCCACCTCCCAGATTCAAGCGATTCTCCTGCCTTGGCCTCCCAAGTAGCTGGCACTACAGGCACCCGCCACCACACTGGCTAATTTTTTTGTATTTTTAGTAGAAACAGGGTTTCACCCTGTTGGTCAGTATAGTCTCAAACTCACCTCAAATAATCTGCCCCACCTTGGCCTCTCGAAGTGCTGAGATTATGGGCGTGAGCCATCGCGCCCAGCCTGAAATGTTTTGTAATGCATTTACATTTGTAAAAAGACAGGAATATCTAATGAAGAAGGGAAGCAGGTTCTGGGTACTAAGCTCCAGTCTCTTTAAGATTGCACCCACTCTTGCCCCACATCACTGGAAAAGCTACAGCAATCCTATTGTCACTGCTGTCAGGGCTAGAGAACGGACCGCTGGGCACTGTGGCTCACACGTGTAATTGCAGCACTTTGAGAGGCCAAGGCAGGAGGATCACTGGAAGCCAGGAGTTCAAGAGCAGCCTAAGCAATACAATGAGACACATCTCTATAAAAAATATAAAAATAAAAGTTATCCAGGCTTGGTGGTGCATGCCTGCAGTCCCAGCTACTTGAGAGGCTGAGGCAAGAGGATTGCTTGAGCCCAGGAGGTTCAGGCTGCAGTGAGCAATGACTGTACCACATAACTCCAGCCTGGGCAACAGAGCGAGACCCCATCTCAAACAGAAAAGAAGGACCATTAGCTGGATGCAGTGGCTCACGCCTGTAATCCCAGCACTTTGGAAGGCTGAGGCGGGCAGATCACAAGGTCAAGAGATAAGAGACCATCCTGACTAATATGGTGAAACCCTGTCTCTACCAAAAATACAAAAAAATTAGCTGGGCTTGGTGGCATGCGCCTGTAATTCCAGCCACTCAGGAGGCTGAGGCAGGAGAATCGCTTGAACCCGGGAGGCAGAGTTGCAGTGAGCCAAGATTGTGCCACCACACTCAAGCCTGGTGACACAGCAAGATTCCGTCTCAGCTTTGCGCAGTGGCAGTATTCTAGCCAACGAGGTTTATCTGAGGCACGATTATTGCTAATTGAAAACTTTTCCCAATACCTCGCCATGACGACTTAAAATATAATCAGCATTGGCAGTTTTTGGCAGTCTCTACTGGGACTGAATTAAAAAAAGGAAAAAAGGCCGGGCGCGGTGGCTCAAGCCTGTAATCCCAGCACTTTGGGAGGCCGAGGCGGGTGGATCACGAGGTCAAGGGATCGAGACCATCCTGGTCAACATGGTGAAACCCCGTCTCTACCAAAAATACAAAAATTAGCTGGGCATGGTGGTGCATGCCTGTAATCCCAGCTACTCAGGAGGCTGAGGCAGGAGAATTGCCTGAACCCAGGAGGCGGAGGTTGCGGTGAGCCGAGATCGCACCATTGCACTCCAGCCTGGGTAACATGAGTGAAACTCCGTCTCAAAAAAAAAAGGAAAACAGACTCCATCTCAAAAAAAAAAAAAAAAAAAAGAAGAAAGAAAAAGGACCATCAAGCACTGTATCCTGCACCACAGGAGGAATTTAGGTTTCCTGGAAGACACTGTGATTTTCACTTAGCATAATTCATGTCTGAATAAGATATAATGTCAGCAATCACATGACAAGCTCTGCTCTGACCTCCTTCAGATGTCTTCTCACACACATTCCCCTCACGAGCCCTCTGGGGCAGGCACTATCACTATTATCTAGATTGGAAAAACGGATTTAGATAAGGCCCAGTTATTTGCCCAACCACAAAGCAAGGAAGTGGAGTGTGCAAATGACCCCACTTAAAAAGACGACACCCCATTCCCATAGCACACACACATATATACACAGACACACACACACACTCTCCCCCCAAGACTTTTAGACCAAACAGCTTCTTTTTATTGAAAGACAGTACAACAAAAGCAAGCTGTGGGGAGGAGGTACAAGAAGGTGGGGACCGTCCCCCAGACTCTACTCAGATTCCCATGAGCACCAGGGAGGGAGAAGATGGAAAACTAGAAAGAGAAATAAAAAGAAATCCAGAATGATCGGCCTAGCCCTGAGGCAGGATCTGGTGTCACAGCCAAGGGCCAGGGAAGGAAGGAGGATCACTCTTCATCTGCCGAAGTCCACCTGCCCTGCCTGCTTCAGGCTTCCAGGAGCTTCCCCAGGAAGCGGAGGTTGAGGATCTTGAGCTGCTCATCAAGGTCCATACGGACAATGCCATCCTCACCATCGATGCTCAGCAGGACGCCTGTGGCTTCCCGATCCTCGCCCAGGATCACTTTCACCTGCGGGTGGGGGTAGTGTGGTCAGGGTCCATGGCAGTGCCCAACACCTCTCATTTCATCTCCTTGCTGCCTGCCCTTACCTTGTTGTTCTTGGTGGGGGTGATGGGCTCCAGGTGCTCACTGGAAATGCTGACGACCTTCTCACTGTCCTTCAGGTACACAGAGCACATGCCCCCCTGGAGGATGGGAACAGCCTGGTCAGCCTGTCCTGCTCCCAACACAGGACTGAGGCCCACACTCCAGGGGACACAGGCTCAGGGCTCATTCTGAAAACTCAAGGTGAAATGGGGCAGGAAAGGCCACGGCTGGGCCTGGTTCCAAGGCCTGGGGCCTGTGGTACATTGTCAGTGTCGGGAGACAGGGGTGACCCAATCAGCAAGAGAAGCATCAGAATGAAGCTAACAGGCAAAAAAAAGATTGCTTCTTGACTCTTCATGTCCCAAACTGGCCTCAGCATCTTCCCCGCACCTGTTCCTCTCCTGGACCTGGTCTCAGGGCCCACCCCATGGTCTGCAGGCCCCACCAGAGCACTGGACTTGATCTTGGTCACCTCCCTCACCAACATGTCCCGGGCTTTGAGGCCTGGCCATTCAGCCTGTGAGGATCTCTCCTACCTGCCTCCTGCCTCTTCCCCACAACCCTGCCCTAGTACAGCCCAAGCTGCTCCTAGGCTCCCGGCCCAGTCTCCCAACCCCATGGGTCACTGATATAGCAACATGGAGAATTCATTCTACACCACAGATCCGCTCCTACCACTCTCCTACTTAGATTCCTCCATGGCTCTCCGGTGCCCTCTGGACAGGCCAGGTCCTCCAGGCTGGCACAGACAGCTCTCTGGCCTCAGATAGGGCCCCAGACAGCTCTGGCCTCATTCACCTTCCCTTCAGCTTTTTTTTTTTTTTTTTTTTTTTTTTTTTTTTTTTGAGAAGTATTGCTCTGTTGCCCAGGCTGGATTGTAGTAGTGCTATCTCGGCTCACCACAACCTCCACCTCCCAGGTTCAAGTGATTCTCCTGCCTTGAGTAGCTGGGATCACAGGCGTGTGCCACCATGCCTGGCTAAGTTTTTTTTTTTTTTTTTTGTATTTTTAGTAGAGACAGGTTCTCACCATTTTGACCAGGCTGGTCTCGAACTCCTGACCTCACGTGATCTGCCCACCTCGGCCTCCCAGAGTGTTGAGATTACAGGCATGAGCTACTGCCCAGCCCCCTTCGGCTTTTTATGTTACAGCCACAACAAACACTTCAGCTCCCGGAATGTGCCCAGGTTCCCCTCACCTCCAGCCCTCTGCACATGTGGTTCTCTCCATTTGGAACATTCTCAACCCAGTCATTTTTCTTAGCTTACTCCTATTCATTCTTCAGGTCTTGGCTCAAATGTCTCCTTCCCCAGGCAGCCCTCCCCAGTTCCCCACTAAACTGTGTAAAGTGCCTCCTCTGGGTTCGCACAGCTTCCCTTGCCCTCTGGGCTTCCGCCATCCCAGCTCTGCCCGCACTGGGCTGTCACCGTCTGGGACACATCTGTCTCCCCTAGTGGAATGTGATGTCTTTGAGGACAGGGCCTGGAGCTGCACTGGTCTCTGGTGTTTAATTTGATTAATATTTATTAGAGAGCCAATAGGGTGCCAGTCCTTCACCTAGGAAGTGGGGTTTCTGAGGAAACAAATACAGGCTTTGTCATCAAAGAACTGCACCAAGGCATGCTTTAACCTTTCAGGCAACAGGGAGGTTAACATGAAGAATTACACGGGCCTGCCAGAGACAGACCCAAGATAGCCCAGGTACTTCCCTCAAGGGAGTCTGTCTCTAGACAAACAATGGGACCAG